GTCTTCAGTGAGGAACGTGTTTGAATGCCTTATGGAAGTCTTCAGTGCTGTATATTGCTTTAATGAGGGTTGGTCACAAGTGTGGGAACCCTTCAAAAGATCTTTCCAGTAATCTGGTGGGGCATTACCTCTTCTTTGCAAAATCCATGTGTCTTTCTCCATCAATTATTTTTTCTTTTTGTTTATTTTTTTCTGGGTTCCTCACACAGTATTCTCCTGTTTGAAGACAGAAGTTCAATTAAGGGAACTAATAATTATTTTTTTTTTTTAAATTCACCCTTGGACTTTATATATGTGCTGTCTGGATAATTACATCTTGAACTATGTTGCATGGCTCAGGATTAGATCAGGAATTGTTGGTTAGTGGTTTTTTTTTTTTTGGATGTGTTGGTTTTTTTTTTTTTTTTTTTTTTTTTTTTTTTTTTTTTTTTTTTTTTTTTTTTGTTGTTGTTGTTGTTGTTGTTGGTTTGGGGTTTTTTTTGTTTGCTTTTTGGGTTTTCTTCCCCTAGTCTGAACAACAGTAGTTGAAGTCTTCAGTTACTACTTTACAGCCTCTTCTTCCCCTTATTTCATACATTGTGTCACCATTGAGTGGAAGAGATTGATAGTATACTGTTAATACCCTATTTCTTCTAAATTTGGTATGGAATTTAATTGCGGCACAGCACCTATTGAGGTAAATAATTTAGCTGGGATGTGGTGCTTCCCTAGCAGAAAGTGGTATTCCTTCAGTGGGGCAGATAAATCCCTCTCTTCTCGCGCATGTGCTTGTGTGTTAGTATAATACCATCTCCTGAGTTTTGTTCATATGTTCACTTTTGAAGATGTCTCAGTTCTATGTTTTCAAAAGGAGTCTTTCAGGTTTTCCTTTTCTGTTTTTAGGCTTCTAACCATTATGTGGAAGCACTTGCACAAGCTGGTCTTATTTTGGTTGTCTGTTTCTAGTGACCTGTGTTGGTGGAACTGTAGTTTTGGCTGGATTTCAGTTACTCCTTTCGATTTTTGTGACTTTGCTCCAAGTATTCATAACAATCGCTGTGTTCTTTGTCACCTTCATCCTTGGTGTTATTAATGGCACTTAGTAAAGGCTTTTAAATTCCAATTTTCTGCTTTTGTTAAAGTGGGGTTGATATTTTTTTGAGATAGATGCACACCCCACCTCAATTTCTGCAATGCATAATAAATTTAAAACCGTTTTCATTCAACAGTGGAGTTAAGACTTGACCTATGGAGTGTTACGTAGCTGGCTGTCTTAAAAGCTGTAGTGTTGGCTGTCCTAGAGAAATGGCTGCATTTTGCCTTTTATTTCTTCCAGTAGTTAATTCTTGACTGTAGCTATGGGATTGTAATTTATTTTGGCATGACAGCTTTTATAGATCAGTGATGTGACCTAATTTAAAAGGAGGACGCAAAGTTTGCATCAGGAAGGACTGTTGTATATTGGTAGTGCCTCTCCATCCAGCTGTAATTTTGGTACCTATGCACTAGAACAAAGCCTTGAACTCGTTCAACAGGAGTATTAAACATGCATTTCCTGCAGACTAGGTCTCAAAAGTTTGTTTTGTTGGACTAGTTCAAAATCTCAACAATTCATCCAGTCTGACCTATCTTACAATTTTCTAGCAATTGTGTTTTCTATCGTTAAGCACCTTTAGCTGTAACCAGTTGCCAGATGGGAGTTTTTTTCCTACTTCCCCATTTTAAAAAATATGTTCTTTTCACTCATTCTTTTTCTGGCAGCTTTTAATTTAGATATACTGATTATGACATTGCCTATGTAGTTTTTGTGTTTCTTGTTGGTACTATCAGTTTTTGAATACAAGCTAACTCATTTTGCACATTTTTTAGGGGAAAAGAGAGAGTAATTCTGTTGCTGAGTCTTGCAGAAGTAGGAGCTGATACTTGTGAGGAAATTCATGCAGATTTTACTAATGACTATGTACTAACAGTTAAGTATGTAAGCTTTTCTTATTTTTATGTCATACCTCAATACAGGTCATTAAAACTTTTTAAGGAGCTTTTGTGGAAAAAATAAATATTTTTAGGCAAAAAGATACATAGTTTGGGTCTTACATTTGCTACATATTATGTGAATATACTGTAATACAGTCCAAGTCTGTCTTTCTACTAAGGATTTGTAAAAACAGGTATAGCACAGGTTTGAGTCAGGCCTGAGGTATAGTCTTGGCATAGTCTCATTTATTCCTTGCTCCCATCTGTTCAGGTGTATTTAAAACTTTATTAAAAGCTTTATGTGCTTGTGATGCTTTTGTCCTTGTAGAGAAAGAAAATCTATGGAATAAACCTGGGAAACTTTAAGAATCAGTGAACTGGATTAATTTATTTTCAGTAAAAGCTGAAATGTAGGAAGATCTAACTTTGAATTAGTCAGCCCTAGAGGGAAAAATAATATGGGTAAAAGAGAATATTGGATTAAATTAATCTTCAGCATAACTGGCTGATTTCCAGGGAGGTACAAACCGGCTGCATTGATAATACTTCATTTTTTTTTTTTTCAGTAAGAAAACCTCTTTCATTCCAGTTGAATGTTACTTTTTTTTTTTTTTTTTTTTCAGTTCAAATGCTATTATATAATGGCATTTGGTTGTAAGGCTGACATATGAAGGAATTAAAAAGTGGTTGCTTCTCTTCTAGGATTAGTCTGGTTCACAGCTTTGCTGTTTGGTTGTCCTGTCCCCATGTTGTCATCCCTGTCCCTTCCTCCCCTCCTGCCCCCCCTGCTCCTGCTCAGTTGATGGACAAGAGGGCTTTAATAATGTTGTAAACATGTAGAAAAATACTTGAGCTTTATTCCTCTGGGCCTCTACTGTCTGGGGATTTTAGGGCTGTCCTCAAACGGTAGGCAACTACACAAGTCTGTACTCTGTATTTTAAAAACACTGCCAAGTCTAGGAAATGTAATGACTGTTATAAAACCTGAAGAATAAATACAGGCTTGAACTTTGAACATATTCAGTGTCTTGTGAATGATCATGTGTTAATATAAGCTATGGATGCCTGAACCTGTGCTAAGTATTACTGCAGTTCATATATGCAATTTGAAAATTACTAGCAATGTAAGGTTTATATTCCATTGCAAGTCGGATTTATAGTGTATGTTCTGTAACTTTCCTTTTTCTATATCTTAATTTTGTATATTCTGGTACAAGTATCAAGGTGGTTGACATGATAAAAAGCAAAGAAATGTAACTGCTAAGGTTTCTTTTCTCAAAAGCTCAGATTACTTGAACCTTGAATTCCTTAATATTCTTTTACAAATACAGATCTTCATTTTCGTGTTGGATTACTTACTGCAGTTAGGTCTGTCTCTCTCTTACAAAATGCTGTATTTTTTCCATCTATCTATAAAGCATCAGTCAAAGGATTTTGGAAATTTGATGTGACAGAGTGGGAAATCCCAAACAATACTGTTGCTGCTTTACTCATGACAATGATTGTATAGACTGACATTCTTTCTGTAATGTTGCAGGGTGATAGTGCTAAAAGTGAGGTTTAAAAATTTAGAAAGAAGTCAGTTTAATGAATGTAGTTGGTACAAGAGGTTTGAGATGAAGAAACTGTTTTTGATATCTAATGTTTGTTTTAACCCTGTTTCAGAAGACTGCTTTTGTGGAGGGGAGCAAGTTGATACAAGAAGTGCAGGTTCTCTACAGGAAAGAAAATAAAAGCTCTTGGAGCAACTTACTAAGGTAAACAGATTGCAGTGGATTTCTGAATGGGTAAGTATTGATGAGAAGGATATTTCTATTTTCTCTATTCACCTTCCCTTTATAAAAGCTTTATAAAAAAAGCACAGAAAGCTCCTTCTAGCCTTTCACAAAAGCTCATTGATGTCACTTGTTAGTATATACTCCAAGATAAATCCAAATTGTCATATAATTACATCTGTATTTTTCTTGTGTCTATCAAGATCAATTTAACCTACTGATTTTTAGTGTAGATGTTTTTTAGAGAGATCTTAGGTCTTTTAGCACTGATTATATATTGGTTTGGAATTACAGGTACGGAAACCTTATATCCTGGTTGCCTTGTATAATTTTTTAAGTTCCTAGTAGAATTGACAATTATAAGCAACAGATTCCCCAAACTGAGCGATCACTAAAAGCAAATAGGAACCCCCAGGCAAAGTAGCTGTTGGGAAGAGCCTGAAGAAACATTGCCTGCTGTTAAAAAGATAAAATTGTTGAAAGCTGGAGAGGGACCTGAGGTAGTAATTCTGGACCTCAAAGGAGCTGCCTCTTGTTAGTGGTAAGAAATGAGAGGTTTCTGTACACCTGCTGCTGCTCATTAATGGATCTGTTCTTGGCATGTGCAGCAGTTTGAGATCTCTTCTGCTTACTTCTGTATTCCAGTTATATTTGGGCCACCTAAGGAGCTCTGGCAGTGTGGATAGGGGAAAACCGGTCAAGTTTTCAAAGTTGCTAATGTGCAAAGTGATGTTGCCTTTTAGTTTTGCTAGGTGCTTGCATATGCACTTCAGCCATTTATTGTGTAAATGTGTTGATACTGAACTCTGTAACATTTCTAATAGCAATGACATTTAATAGGAATTCAAATTTTCTTTCTGCACATCTAACTTTTGATCCTTCTTTGCAGTCTAGCAAGAGCAGTGTTACAGATCATTGTATGCATGTGTGGGTGGGAAGGGGACTGGGAAATCAGGATTATGTAACAAATGCTACCAAAAATTGTATTTTCTATGTGTGCATTGCCAAACTTAATGAAGTATAACTATTATATGGGAAATGTTGGTGATGACAGTAAGTTTTTTTTATTAGTATGGGATTAGAAAGTGTATGGAGAAACTTTAGTGTTTTTTTTACATGATCTCAGGAAGAAAAAGTAAATTCTAGAATGATTAATTCTGTAGTTATTTATAAGAACTGTTATTGGAAAGTTATACCTTACTCTAAATTTGGATGTGTTGGTGTTTTTTTTTCTTCTCTTGCTTTGTTTTTCTTTTAAACAGCAGATGTAGAATGGACACGAGTCCTCTGGGAGGATTAGAACTGTCTGAACATCCTCCTGGTCTACTAGGGAATACAGCCATGGCAGCGGGTCTTGCAAATGTAGGAAATACATTTGGAGGTCCACCAGGTTCTTTAGTTTCTAGACCTAATAAGTTCCAAAACTCAGCTGTAGAAGATGACGATGATGTAGTTTTTATTGAACCTCTACAACCTCCACAAAATTCTACATCATTGATAGCAGATCAAAGGAACACTGCATTTACATCTTCAAAAAATGAAGAACTTCAAGGGAATGATTGCAAAATGCTTCCTCCTCCAAAAGACTTAAATTCTCAAAAGGGGAATATAAGTGAAACTATTATTATTGATGATGAAGAAGACATTGAAACAAATCAAGAACAAGAGAAGAATGCTTCCAGTTTTAATGAACGAAGACTTCCAGAATGTAAAAATAGAACCAGCGATATGGAATTCTCAGCTTCCAGTTTTTCAAGAAGTAAGGTAAATTCAGGAATAGGTAATAGTGGTATAACCACAGAACCAGACTCTGAAATTCAGATTGCTAATGTTACTACATTAGAAACAGGTGCTATGAGCTCTGTGAGTGGTCATTTAGAAAACACTGAAGGGCGTGACATGAACTTAATGATTACACATGTAACATCACTGCAGAATGCCAGCTTGGGAGATGTATCTAACGGACTGCAGTCAAGTAATTTTGGTGTTAATATGCAAACATACACCCCATCTTTGACTTCACAGACCAAGACTGGAGTAGGACCTTTCAATCCTGGTAGAATGAATGTGGCTGGAGATGTATTTCAAAACGGAGAATCTGTGACTCATCATAATCCGGGTAAGCTGCAATTCTGAACAGTTCTTTAAAAGCTGAAAATAAATAATAGAATATTTGATTAAACTATTTTAGCAGTGGTGCTGTTTAGTTATTTAGCTTGATTCATATAGAAGATGATGGTTCCCTTCGTCAACAACACAACCTTACCTCTGTGTCTCCAGAATAAAATAGACCCAGTGACATAATGCATTAAATAGGTAGGAGAGTATCCCGGTTAAGGAGGTAGGTTGATACCTTCAGGTATTTTGAGAATCAAGTATTTGTGGCTAAAGTAAAGCTTTCTTCATCACTTAAGTGTACCAACTTAAATGACACAAAGGTTAGTGTATATATGTAACTTTTGCATCTTTTTGTGGAGTTCTAGGACTAGCATAGCGCATCAAAGTTATTTAGGCAGTATTTTGCTGATCTGTTGTCTTGCCATTAGAATATAATTTAACACATAGAAAAAAGAATTTGAAGGTCTAATGCTAAATTGTAAGTAGCTAGCTGTCATAATTTATTGCATTCTGAGTGATACTTGGTATTTACAATGCTTGACAAAACAGAGTCCAAGTTACTCGTGGATTCGCATATTCCTGCAGTAAATTATCCGCACTTCATAACTGCTATTTAGTTGCCTGTGATAATGTGTACTTATATCATACAATATTAATTAGTTTGAATTGCCTGGTTTTGTTTTTTGTCTGTGTATAAGTAGCAGTCTCCTAATTTAGCAAGTAAACAGTTTTCGCTAGTAGCAATATGGAGCCATGAATGTTCTTCTGGAGTTGCTGTTCAACAGATTTTAAGCTTTCACGTAAGCAATTCAAAAACCTTCTAGGTTCTAGCATACACTAGTACTGTCCTGCCCTGTTAGGCTAAAAGTGGTGAGAAAAGCCAAATTGCCACTTTTCTACAGTTTTAACTTCAGACAAGTTAGGATGTTTTTAAAAGGAAAATTTAAAATAGTTGCAATCTGGGTGCAGTAGACCTTTATTAATGCACTATACTTTAACTTGCTCAATGCTGTTTAAAATACATAGTTGTGTGGTTGTTTTTTTTTTTGCCTGTTTTTCAATGACTATTTAAATAGCACAGTTCTTCAGTTGGGCCATACCCTACCACACGTCTTTTTGCAGAAGTATAAATGAATTTTTCATTGTATTATGGAAATGGCAGTATGAAACTTAAAGTGTTAAGTTGGATGTTAGGTTGTGGTTTTGTTGTGTTAATCTTGAAACTGATTTCAAAATTTGACTTCTGGAGTTTAAAGCTGGCAAGTTTTTCTAGCCTCGGTATCTCACTGAATGGTTCAGAAGTTCAGTTCCCTGTCTTGCAAAACTGACATTCTCACTGCTGCTACTTTATCCCGTAGACTTGGGTTATGGTGACTTATCACAGATGGTCAAGCAGTCATGGGTGAGAACTTTAAGGATTTGTTACCTTAAATTAGTGCCTTTTATGTTCTTGGGGAAAGTGCATCTTAAGACAGTTAGCTTGTGCCTTCTCTAAACTACTGAACTTATATTTTGGAATTTTGCTGGCATGAAGTTTGATAGGCTGGGACCGTAGCAGTGTTGAAACAATATTGAGTTCCAAGAAACAGGAGTAGTGACTCAAAGTCCTTCGTAGGGACTTGGTGAAAGACTCGCTCATAAGGGAGGAAAAATAACTTTACAGGTGGGTGTAAGAGGTGTATTTCAAAGTGGCTGTGGTCTTTGTATGTGAAAAACAAAGAGCAGTAGGTCCAAAAGGAAGCAGGAAGGGCTGACACAGGTAAAAGGGAAGGAGAAAAATGCCAAAGGAGAAGAATTAGAAATAAGCTAAAATATGAGAATAAGAAAGAGGAGGATGGAGGGAAGATGGCTATAGTGGAAATGCCTTTTACACAAGAAAAAGCAGGAGACGTGGTAGGTGCAGTTCACTTAGAAGTTTTTGTACTTGAAAAAACTTCCCTTTACATCTTTTTAAGATAAAAGTTGGTATTTTGTTCTTTTTCCTTCAAAGTCGCTTCTTCTTTTTTCTAGAAAATCTTGTCAGAAGTTAACCCTGCTCATTAGAAACTTTGATAATATGGCAGGAAGCATTTGTTCTTAAATAGGTTTAATGTATTCAGCACAGTTCTGGTCTAAGATGGCTAAGGATAGATTAAACTTTCCTGGATCATTGATGTTCCATCTGTTCTGATTTCCAGATTTCTAAAGCAATTCCAATGGACGTGGAGTTGCTGCTTACTTAATTTAGTCCTGCTTAGTTAATTTAAGCTTGCTGATGATAAAAATGCTTTGATTTGTATAATTTGAAGATTGTGGATTAAAAAACCACTAATAAATATAGCCTCAAGTTGCTCCAGGAGAGGCTGGGGTTTGGTGTTAAATAAAATTTATTCACTGAAAGCATTGTTAAGCATTGGAACAGGCTGCCCAGGTGGAGTCACCATCCCTGGAGATACTTAAAACGTGTAGAGGTGGTGCTTAGGAACTTGGTTTAGTGGCGGACTTGGCACTACTAGGTTTACAGTTGGACTCGGTGATCTTAAAGGTGTTTTCCAGCCTAGGTGATTCTATATGTGGTTTGGAAGATGTCTTCTGGATCAGCGTTACTTTGTTCTCCTCAGCCAGGTGTCTCCACTGTACGAGAAGCAGTAGGAGCATAATAGAGAAATTTCTATCAAACATGTAAGTTCAGAATTTATTTGACAGAATGGTTTGGGTTGGAAGAACCTTTAAAGAGTACTTATTCCAAACACCCTGCCATGGACAGGGACATCTTCCAGTGCATCAGGTCACTCAAATCCCTGTCTAACCTGACCTTGAATACTTCCAGTGATGGGACATCCACAGCTTCTTTAGGCAGTTTGTTGCAGTGTCTTAGCACCTTAATTGTAAAAAATTATTCCCTGTGTCCAATCCAAATCTATCCTCTTTCAATTTAAAAATCTTATCTGTTGCCATATCACTACAGGTCTTGGTGAAAAGTATCTCTCTTGTTCTTGTAAGACTCCTTTATATATTGAAAGGCTTCAATAAGGTCTCCCTGGAGCCTTCTCTTCCCCAGGCTGAACAACTTCAACTCTTTTTGCCTTTCTTCACAGGACAGATGTTCCTGCCTTCTGTCATTTTTTGTGGCCCTCCTCTGGGCCTGCTCTCATCCGTTCATTCCTCGATTTGTATTGACATTGAGGATTCCCCTGACCAAGGTGAAAGACCTTGCTTTATTGAACTTCACGAGGTTCACATGGGCCTATTCCTCAAGCCTAGTAAGGTCCCTCTGGATGCCATCCGTTACCCATAGCTTATCAACTGTGCTACTCAGTTTGATCTTATCTGTAAACTTGCTGGGGGTGCACTTAATCCCACTGTGTTGTTGATGAAGATACTAAACAGTATCAGTCAGACATCGAGCCATTAACTGTAATTCTTTGGATGCCACTATCAAGCCACTTCCTTATCCACCAAATCTGTATGTCTCCAATTTAGCAGCAAGAATTTTGTAGGGAGACCACATCAAAGGGCTTGATGAAGTCCAGGTAGATGAACAAAAGTCAATGCAAATGAGTTTCAAGTACTTTTGGACTGGAGCTTTGTTTTGTTTCTCTGAATGGAATCTAGTTTTGTGCTCCAAAACCAGAACCCACACCTAGTAAATTGAGGGTGCAGTTCAGAATTGCCTTGATCTGAACCAGGGTGTTAATGCAAATGGAGCTGAATGTGTTTGAAGAGCTGCAGACCTCTGTAAAAGTTTATTGCTGTCTTTCTTCCCACCTCTGCCCCAAGTTGTGCCAATACAGTTTTTTTTCAGTTCTTTTTCAAAAAAGACATTTAATTGAGCAATTTTTTTTTCCGAGATTGCTCCAAGACATTGGTGCAAATGAGAGTAAGGTATAATTTTATAGCAGTTTAGAGCAGGAGTGAGTGAGACAGGATGGGAACACCCTGAACATCCGTTATAGCGAGAAGAAATTGAACATGACATTGTACAGTCATGAGCTTAGCCGTTAAAGAATTGCAGGTGGGAACCTGAAAGATTAAGACATAAGGACAGTGAGGCATGGAAGCTATCGGGAGTCAACTGAGAGAGTGCGATACGCCTTCTCAGTTCAAGGATATGCAAAACAGATTTTACAGATGCTTTGTAGAGAACATAAATGGAGGAGGTAACGTGGTGAGAAAGTGAGATGTGAAGAAAAGTCATAATATAAAAGTCAATGTCTATGAAGATGCAATCTGCAAGAAACGGGTGGAAAAAAAAAAAAAGATCGATCTTCAGTTGTTCTTGTGGTATGTTTGTAGAGGGGGTAATGCAACAAAATGTCAATTGGAGGAGGCTATTTGAAGGCCTTAAGATACTAAGGAAATACTGAAATAATCTTAATGAGGTACTAGGAAGTCATGATAAAAGTTTCTAACGCAAGCTGGTCTCGCAAACCCGTTTTCATGTGTGGAAGTTGAGTGCTGTGGGAATTACAAGCACATGTAACTTTCCTGCATGTTCTGCATATTTCTATTAAGGTGCAATGTGCTCCAGCCTGAAACCTGTGAGAAAAGAGAGCCTCAAAATACTTTGAGGTTCTGAGGATACTACTAGGATATAAATATATTTGAGGTAGTAGACATAAAAATGAAGAGAAGTTTGAAGGGCGCACGCAAGTCTTAATTTGTCAGTATGGTTACTCGTGCCTTCAAAGGTAAACTACTTTAAAGAGGAATGTGTGGGACGGGGAGGTGGTGGTCTACCTTCTTTCCCTCTTCCCTTCACCCCTTTGTTCTAGCTCAGGCATTACAGTGGGCAACTTTGCAACTTGCCCTAGGTGTCTGAGAAGTAGGACATCCTTGGCAGCTACAAAGTAGCACTGGAAAATGATCTTCTGCATGCTAAGGAGTGTACGTTGGTGCTGTAACAGGGGTTCTTGGAACTTTGCCCCTAAAACGAATTTCAAAACTATGTAATAGAGTATGTCGTTAATAAAACCTTCTTGGACAGATGACTTTGGAAAACAGCATGAGGAAGGGGTGCCATCTATCTAATGATTATGGGCCAAGATAATGTCTCTTAAGAGGAGGGTATGGGCAGTTGCTGAAGTCTATAGGTTCAGGTTTTTGTTATTTGAACTTCCAGAGTTTAAAATCATCTTTCTTATATTTGTTAATACAAGTTGTAATAACTCCAGGAAAACACTGAGTCACTGCACTAAAACATTGGAGGTTTTAGTATTTAGTTATAGTAAATGCTGTGTTTACTCTTTACTTAAAAGTAGTAGCATAAGTACTACTCAATGCAGTAATATATAGGTAGATGTTCACTATTCAGCCAGAGTAAAGTACTGTTCAGCAGGCTGGCAATAAAAAGCTTGAAAGGTAAGTCCCAAGTGCTGTGACAGTATTTGGGATAGGTTACACTTACTATTGAATATGTGTGTAAATGTTTTTTATAATCCAAAGAAGTTCCTGTTCAGATTTTAATTCATACTTGAGTAACGTATCATTCTTGACATTCTTCAGAAGTTCAATGTTCCTAAATTCTGATGTTTAAAATGAAATTCTAGTAATATTTAAATGAAATTCAGGTGATTATTTAAAACGAGAGCTTAAACTCCAGAGAAAAGCCTAGAAATTACATTTTATTGGGGGATTTTTTTTTTCTCTCTAGATCTGTATATTCTGTTCCAAATCAAGATACTGGGCATATAATTTAACAGAAGCACGTGATCCTTCTAGATGTATTTCTGTTGGAGAAAAAGTTACTTAAGTTTTTGTTACGCAGGTCACTCTGTAACACATTATGCTACAAATTATTGGGCAAAGATGACTTTGTTTTGTAGTAATCTATTGTACAAAAACACAAATGGAAGACTGGTGGAGTGTGGAACACAGGGACATGTATTTGTGCATTGCCAGAACTTAATGAAATATTATTTTCTAGGTTCATTGTTTTCTGCTGAAGAAGACTTGGAACTCTCGTGAATTTACCAGTTTGCACATTAATTGGTATTCACTGGGTTGAAAAAGTTGTGGAGAAAAAATAGGAACTCTTCTAGGAATCACTGACATAGGTGCAGAGCCGAGCTGTGGAGCCATTCTGCTTTGCTGTAACTGCAGTGTCGTTCTTTGGCTGCAGGTTGGACTAAGAAACTAGTATGGGGAACCCCAATTCTAGGGTTAGACACATGATGCTATTAAAGCTTTAGAACAAAATGACAAATGAAAACCTAAGATTTCTTGCTCTTAAAAATGTGCGGAAATTAGTTCAGAAATTCCATGTTCTCTGTCCTTATCTTTTTTTTTTCTAATTGCAATTTTGTTTGCCTGAAGATGGAATTGCCAGTTTACAAACCCAGTGCAGGTGACTTGAGGTCTGCAAAATTTGTTACTAGATGTAGGATGGGACTGTCCTGAAATTTGTTATTGTTCTAAAGCCTTGTAACAATGGAGAGCAGTACCATCAGACAGTATTTTACTTTAAACTGGAATTTCTAAAATAATGGCTTTCTTCTGTTAACTGCTGATTCCAGCAGAAAAATTATTTAATGAATATTATTCTATATGTATATATGTACATGTCTGTTCACTTTTATGTTTGTTTTTTTGTCTTGAAGATTCTTGGATATCCCAGTCAGCTTCCTTCCCTAGGAATCAGAAGCAACCAGGTGTGGATTCCTTGTCACCTGTAGCATCACTTCCTAAGCAGATTTTCCAGCCTTCTGCCCAGCAGCAGCCTTCTAAACAGGTTAAAGTCACATGTGCAAACTGCAAAAAGCCTTTGCAGAAGGGACAGACTGCGTATCAGCGAAAAGGATCAGCTCACCTTTTCTGTTCTACTACCTGCCTTTCATCATTCTCACACAAACCTGCTCCAAAGAAACTTTGTGTTATGTGCAGAAAGTAAGGGATTTATAAAATTTGTTTCATTTTAGCAGCTAAATCCCAAAATACTTTAAATTCTCATGCATGTATGAGAATTGTTCTGTTGATAGAAAAATCTGACAATGCAAGTACCATATGTAGTGTCACTTTGATGTTGTTTGGAAGTGATGAGCTCGCTGTGTCTACTGCAACAAAATAAGTCTGCCAGCTTTCAAATTTGGAGTACAGCAGATTCTGTCTATGAAAGCTAATACACTAAAAATTACTGATGTGGTTTTGGGGGGGGTATGGTGTTTTTGTTTTTGTTTTTTTTTAAAAAAAAAAGTGTGTCCAAGTTATGTTTTGTGATTAGTCTGTTTTTGGTTTTGTGGTTGTTTGTGGTTTTTTTTTTTTTGTTTTTTTTTTTTTCTCCATGTCGATCGTTTATGAAAAAAGTTGACCTTGTATAGAAAGCATTTATTTTGATAGATGAAGATAAAAAATTAAGAGGCTTTAAAAGAAGGACATACTGATACTTGCAAGAAGGTGGAAGAAATCTGGGAGCTCTTCCACAGCTGGCAGTGCTAGGAGAGGAGAAACCTTAGACTTTGCCCACAGTCAGGAGCATTTATGATGACTTTTGAAGTTGAAGATAGGTTAAATGGGCAGTATGGAGGAAGTGACAAGCACACTTAGAAATGCCTTATTCTGAATTATTGGTTAGGTTTTACTTGTAATTTTTCATTATTTTCCACATGCAAAATTGCCAAAGAGCAGTCTTCCATAACGGTACTATTGGAGTGGTAGGTATGTGAAATAGCTGTACTATCTTTTCAGTGTACCGATGACTGAGATACTTGCACTTTTTTTTTTTGTGTATAGTCTCAATCGAGTACACCCTGCAGTGATACTGGTTAAATGATGAATTCCTG